GTTTTCTTGTGTTGGGGATGGGGGTGGGGGGGTGGGGGGTGGATGAGAGGGGTGTAGGGATGGGGGGGCTCGTGACCAATTTCATCTAAAAGAGGTAAACAGTAAAAAATGTTTAGATTAATCAGTTCTCACCATTAAATCATTTCCTTAGCGTTCCTCATTCCCCCCCCAATTAGCTTTTATTCAGGTAGTCTCTGGTATACAGTAACTCTTCTGCATGCACTTTTTCTACGTACTAAGTTAATTTGCTTAAATTGCAATTTTTGCTTTTGCAACTGAAAAGGAAAGTTTATTTTAGCCTATTGCTTATATCCATACTAAAGATAATCTACCATCATAAGACTTAATCAGAATGTATTCAATATTGGTAAACTAAACTTAAATTAATTTAGAAACAGTTTTTCTACAAATTGAACGACTGAATGAGGGACTCTATATCCATCAAGGATATAAGTGGCCCAACGAGAAAACAAGGAAAATGAGAATCAAACAGGAATTTGGTAAGCTTTTCAAACCTGTAATAAGGTTTTAATGAATTTATTTTTCAAGGTTGTGTTGATGACAGAAAATCCCATCTCAACATCTCTTTATAAGAAGTCACTCTCAGATGTGTCATCTGACATGTATGGCATGTTCTAATATACTTAGACATAACCCCCCTCAATAAGGCTGGGAAAAGTATTGCAGAATGTTGTTGTAAGTTTTTGGACTTGAAGATCCCAAAGGTTGGGAAGCCCTCAACCTTTGGCTGCAAAACTGCAAATCTCACAAAACCGGCAAGCACCAATAATTCATCCTTCAAAAGGTACAGCACCTACTTTGCAAAGCTTTGAATCAGAGGCTTTTTATAGAACTGACTCAGGGAGGGATCTACTCTTTGTTTTGCCAGGAAGCCACTGCAAGAAACAGGCAAAAGAGACATCTTGAGAGCTTCCAAAGAAACCTTACCTTCTCTGCCTCCCCATGCTCAAGGTAGAGACTGGACCGTAACTCAACACACCACAAAATTTGTGTCACTGCGCAGGCCGCAAAACCTCACAAAGATTTCCAGCACCAACATCTGACTTTCCTGTAATAGATTAAACTGTTACTAGTGGTGGAGGTGGCAGGTTTCATCTCCAGCTTGTCTCCTTGCAAGACCCTTGACAAGAATGACATACACTCCCTCAAAGGTAAGAGCTGAACGCACTTCCATGGTAACCTTTTCCTGAACCAACCTCCATTTTACCATTAATTTATGCATTGGAACTACTTTAGAAACACAGTCAGTCCCCTTTGCCTCATTAAAAATAGTCTCCAGTATTAGTTTGCTCAGAAAAAGGTAACAAATAGCTCACAATGTATAAATCAAAAGCTCCACTTTCTCTCATAGCTGTACCCTGAGTATCACTCCCTATTGGGAACATAGCCATCCAAAGCGAGATAAAATATCTGCCAGATCCAAACTGCACTTCCCTCTCATTTCCACCTGCATCAAAAGGGGAAAAGACTGAACAAACAGGTACTATCAACTGAGTATGGCCATTTCCAAAGTTTATAACAATCATGTTTACACTGCTCCAATTCCATTTGTAATAATGGGATATTTCATTTGAGTCAAATTATTCTTAAATATTCTGAATCTATTTTGAACCACAATAATCAGGTTATGACTTACTCCATCCTCCCACTTTACATGACCTGCAACATGAAATTTTCTGGTTCTCCTGTAACCAGAATAATCACAGGCACTGTACTCATTGCCACTCTTAGTGTGTGTTTAAGGCCCGTGGGTGAGTAGAATTTTTAATAACTTTTTTCCAATTAAAGGTATTGTGGAGGATGTTCTTTTTCAGGGCAGATCATTAAAATAAGTGGTCCTCCTAATTGTTAATCATTCTGGTTATATGTTCACGTAAGGGTGTCCTACTGTACCTATTCTATCCCCATTTTAACCTAACCCTATAGAATACAAAGATAAAATAACATCCCCTCTCACACACTCATGAGAAAACCAGCTGGACATATGAACTTTTCGTTCATATGTCCAGCAGCATGGGAAGCAGTCTTACCTTGTGCTCACTGAAATGAAACTGGGAGCATAAAAACAACTGGAAGTGAACCTACCAGAAGGATCTGGAAGCATGGCCTGCACCAACCAAACTTGACTTAAAATCTTTTACTTCCAGTCACTTCACTTAAAGCTGGTCAAGTTCCATCACAGACTGGATGCTGCTGCAAATCCTACTGCTGTTTAAAAGTTAAACTAACAGTAACCGGAGTGAAAATGTTAGACATTGGGTACTAGAGTCACAACGGTTCTGTCCCTCTGACTAAGCAGAAATCTCACTATGCCCCTGCTAGTATTCAGATGCAGTTTGTGGCAGATTCATATGGAATAAAAACCAGTAAAATATGAAAAACCTGTGACTGACCTGCAGCTCTGGATGTGTTCCTGAGAGAATGCCACATTAAAATCGGCCCCTAATAAATTCCAAAAGAAAATACGTTCTACGACTGATCAAGAGCTGGACACAGACAGCCAAAGAACGAATAAACAGTGAGGTCAACCGAAATGCTTTTTACAGTGATTGCTCACAGGCGTATGAAGAAAACAACACAAAATGGAACAACTAGTGGATCGGAGGGCTCGTCATGACCTCATCAGATTTTAGTTTTGGCATTTTAGTGAATGTTTTAGAGTAGTGAGTTCAGAGTAAATAAACATTGCCTGCAACAGGGAAGTAATTGAGAAGCTTTGTGAACAGAAAAATAATTAAAAATTATATATTTTATTTAACATGCCTTTCAGGACCCCCAAGGCCACTACAACAAAACAACCAAAAATACACCATATCACACCATATACACAATATCAGCTACAGTGGTATGCAGTATTAAACAGATGAGATCTTAGCCTTGATTTAATTTGAGATAAAAAGTCAATATTGCAAATTTCAGGTGGGAGTGACCTCTATAGTTTGGGAGAAGAAAGGGAGAAACCTCTGCTCCACACAGTGACGAGCCAGGCAGGAGGCTCAACAAGGTGGAAGGATGAGGAACATCTAAGGAGAAGGCGGTAGCAATCTGTAGGAGAAGTAGGGGGGAGTGAGATTATGGAGAACGCTGAAAGCAAACAGAAGGATTTTGAACTGAAATCTGACACTGACAGGAAGCCAGTAAAGCACCTGTTAGACTGGGTTGATGTGATGGAATGAAGGGGGATTTTGTAATTAAGCAAGCCACTGAATCCTGGACCAACTGAAGTATATGGAGAGATTTCTGAGGCCAAAAAGAAGAGGGTTGCAGTAATTGCTCTGAGAGATGACGAGGCTATGGACCGAAACAGAGTACAGGGAAAAAGAGGGATGCAGACACAGAATGTTTCATAGGTCTTGTGCTTGTAGAAGAACAAAAGCAAAAAAAAATGTTGCTTGTAGGTCAAACACTGTTAAAATATGTGTCCTTCCATTAGTCATGTTATTATGATGAAAAAAATTACTAAATTCTTCACGGTAAATTATTAAAGTTATTATACTATCATACTATATGTCATATACAATTACCAAAGGCCCGGATGGGTTCTTTGACCAGAGGTTGCCGTAAGCAGCTTTTGAGGGCCTGCATGTTTCAATATGTAAATAAATGGATAATTAGAAGGCTTCTAAGAAATCCACCAAAAACAAAAAAAAAAACATTCAAACTGGTTTTTTTGGAACAGAAATATACCTAAAAATTGTAGAACACCAAAGCAGCTAAGGCTCTAGATGAGAGGTTCATGTTGAAGCTGAGGATAAATGGGTTGATATCTGGGGAAAATTCTTTAGTTGTGGTTGAGTCAACTGACTGCAGTGGTGTAGCTACACAGTGCCTTTGTTTAAGACTCTTTGATGTTGAATGCTGTAGGGAATGTCTGTTTGTACTTATTCATTGTGTTGAATACACTTCATGTGGAACGTATCCATTTATTTAAGTAAAATAAGTCAAATGTAGAATTGTATTAACAGGCTGGTGGTGAGGAAAATGGAGCACGGGGCCCATGGCTTTTCTAAATGGGTAGCCTCTTGGGGGTGTCATGATCTGGCCTGTTTGCTCTCCCTTAATTAGTCATTCCTTTCACCTGTGGTTTTTCGCTCCCTGCCTCAATTATAATTTATTCCTCTCACCTGTTTCCTCTGGTTTATTATCAGTTTAGCCTGAGCATTCAGTGCCAGATCATTACTTGTCTTTCTGTTAGCCTGTCTGTTAGTATTGTTCCTTGGTTCGTGTCCTGGATCCTAGCAGCCAGTGGAAAGAGGGTTTTTGTGTTTGTCTCGTCTCCTGATCGTCCACTGTTCCTCCCCCGCGGAGTCCTCTGGGTTTTTGGCTCATTATGTGGGGAGGTTCAGTTTTTATCCAGTAAGCCTGGCTCCAGGGAGGAGACCAGTTTAAAGTCCTGCTTCAAGTTCAGGTTCCTACGTCCTGTCTCGGCTACCCTCTTCCACTGAGCCTGCCTGTCTGCACCTGATCCTGTCTGCTCCTGATCCTGTCTGCTCCTGTGCGTGACCACCCGGTCATGCTTCTGGTCCCAGTCAGACTCTGAACCCTCCTGGGAGCCTGTGGATGCCTGGAAGTCTGGATCCTGCCACCTGTTTCTGTTCCTGTCCTTTC